GTCAAATGGTTTTTCCACCCCGCCCCAGGAAAATTCCGAACCCGGGCCCCTCCGTGTTGCGGGGAACGGGAAAGCTTTTTAAGCCCCACCAACCACCAGGCCCCCCCGTAAGGGTTTTTTTCAAACAAATTTTTTTTGGGGATGAATTCACCAGAACCTTATGCATGTGTTATGGAGGCCATTGGCCCCCATTTTAAAAGTAAAACCCTTGAAACGGGTTCGTTTTTTCAGTAAAAAAAATGTCCCCATCCAAAATGGCCCATCCCTCCTTTTCCCCTTTTTGTTTCCCCTCAAAACGATTGAAAGGTTACCGTAAACTCCAGTAATATGGTTGGGTATTTAACCCGGGACAAAAGGGAAAGACGTGTCCACCGGTTTTTTAATTGTTGGAAACTCCCGTAAAATGGACACATGGCCGTAATCAATGTTGGGATCGATCCCGCTTTTTCCCCGTTTCCAAACAAGGGTTTGTGAAAGCCAAGCGTGAGTCCCCCCCCGTCAGAACCCGACTCCTACACCAAGCCCCCCGAGGGTCCCCCATGGTTAAGGCGAAAGGGCCGGTCCCCGTCCCCCCGGACACCAAACGGCCTCAACAGCCCCCCGTTCCCCCCCCTCGATGGTAAACCTGTCCCCACTTACAACCTTATTCACCGTGTTGGTAACAATTTTTACTCAGGAGCAATACCTGAGAGATGTAAAATTTGAATCTGGACAATACTGGGTACGACTTCCGTGGAGACTAAAACCATCCAGAATTGCCCACTAATTACAGAATGGCATATGGACAATTAAAGGCTCAGCTCCGCGAACTGAGTAAGACACCAGAATTGTTAACTGCCTATAATGATATAATTGCTGAGCAGTTAATTAATAAATTTATAGAAGAGGTACCTCCTGAGCAAGCCAAAATTTATGGTCACTATTTGCCACATCACGGAGTGAAGAAGGATTCTAAGACCACTCCTTTGATGATTGTGTTTAATTGTAGTGCCAGGAGTAACAAAAATGTACCTAGTTTAAATGACTGTTTGATGACAGGTCCGTCGTTGACGGAAAAAATAGATATCTTACTAAATTTCATGATGAAGAATTATGCCTTTACGGCTGATATAAGTAAAGCATTCCTAAGAGTGGGTTTACAAGAGGCTTGTGAAAATTTGTGTGGACTGCCTCCAAGTGAGTCGCCTACCCTGGCAAACTCTGTTGACACCGAGCTCTGAGTGGGTACCTCAGCCTCACAAGTGGCTTATAGGACAGATTTTTCACAAATATTGATGTTGCAAGAAACTCGCCTGCATGCACGTATAAAGGACTAACTTACTTGGTGTTGCAGCATATATCCTGATCTTCAACTTCCCTAAGCTTAGCCTTAGCCCCTTTGGACTTACCCTCAGAAACCACGTGCAACCGGGAGCCTTAATTCCTGCAATATTCAATCGTTATTAGTGACCTGCCTGCACCTCAGAAATTCCTATATCTAAGAGGGTATGTATCCCCTAGTATAACTATGCAGACACAGACACTAGCTTCCAGACTGCCAAGAGACACTGGTACTTACTGGGGATGCACTGCCTGCTGCACACCGGGCCCACAGATCAAACTCACTCACAATTTTCCCCAGACACTGGCCAGAAATCTACGAGATAAAGTGGAGGTCTTGTCTTACTGTATGGGCCTGACAGAGGTCATCTATGGTACATCATCGAGATGCCTCTACCAGATTTCCCGAGGTCTCAAATGTGAAGACACGTGGGGGGCGCCGTCTGCTGATCACGGCACGTCTTGTCCAGTTGGTGTCTGTCTTAAGAAGAACGAGCTGGTCTCTCTTCCAGACCCTCATCTCTTCGTTAAAACTAGGGCTGCCAGTTCTCCCTAGCTAACTTATCCTAGTGTTTGCCTACATTATCGGCCTATTACTACCTATGTTAAGATCTTAGGTCTAAGGCAGTTGCCTTAGTAAACCTAATATTAATATACTAACAGTAAAACTACCTACTCCTTCCCTGAAGGGTAAATCTATAAATAAATAAGTGCCTACCATCCATGCCAACCCGGGGAGAGAAATGTGTTTATGTTTGGGGAGAACGCTTTTTGTTTGGGTGAGTTTAAGGGCCACCCAGCTCAGCCGTTCCATTACGGCCATGCTGGATCTGTCCTGTGGAACTTTGGGGACCAAATAAATTTCCACAAGGCTGACTGGGATTGTACCCGCTTCTTATGGCCTGAGAATCCTAGTGACCCACTTAGCACTCTGAAAACCTTTCGCTTTCGGAGCGTATTATTTGGTGCTACATCCAGTCCGTTCCTACTTCAAGCGATGATAAATGCACACCTTAAACGTATGGGAAGTCCATTGAGTAAAGTAATGAGCAAACAATTTTATGTGGACAATTTCCTGGGTGTGACGTCAACTGAAGAGGAACTGTTAATGACTTATGGAGAGGCTAATAAAATAATGCAAAGTGCAAATATACCTCTGAGGGAATGGAATAGTAATTCGTCCAAATTAAAGGACAAAATAAGTAAAGATTACCCTGGAGATGAAGTGCCAAAATGTAGTAATGTATTGGGTTTAACTTGGGATAGTGAGAGAGATTTGTTAATGTTAAAACCTAATAATTACAGTATGCCCAATAAATTAACTAAGAGAGTTTTGCTTGCTGAAGTTTCCAAATGTTTTGATCCACTAGGTTTAGTGTCACCCCTTACTATAAGAGAGAAATTATTAATACAGGAAGCATGGAAACTTAAATGTGCTTGGGATGAAATTCTACCTGAGGAATTCATTAACAAGTGGGATGAATTAATTGGTGATTATGAAAAAATTCCAATGTTGGAGTTGCCACACCAGGTGGCCAATCCAAATGGGAAAAATGTACTCCACATTTTTTGTGATGCTTCAAAATTGCCATATGGAGCAGTTGCTTACCTTCAATGTAATGGTGTTATTTCTCTTGTTATGTCTAAGGCTAAAGTGTCTCCAATTAAATCACGTACCTTACCTCAGTTGGAATTAACAGCCATTTATGTAGGTGTCAAATTAGGTAATTATATAAGAAATAAGTTGCAGGAGATAAATATTAGTCTGATAATGAGGTATCCTTACAATGGATTCGTAATGGAAACAGTAAAATTGTGTATGTACAAAACAGAGTCGCTGAAATTAATCAGATGCAAGAGAAGTATAATAGTTTGGGTCAGCATATGTTCACATTTAATCATATACCTGGCGAGGAGAATCCAGCTGATTTCTTGTCTCGAGTTTTACCTTATGCTAAATTTGTAAATGCTGTATCATGGTTTAAAGGACCGAGCTGGTTGGTAAATAAAGCTAATTGGCCTGTACAAAAGGCGTATATTGCTCCTGTTGAAATTACTGTGACCACCGCTCCAATTGTTTGTCCTTCCTTAGCCATTGATTTAAATAGGTATTCTTCTTTACCCAAACTAATCAATGTAACTAAGTTGGTGTTTAAATTTCTAAACAAGATGAATATATCATATAAGTTTTCACATCCTCTTAAATATTGGATAAAGAGGGTACAGGAAGAAATCTATGGAAATGAGATTAAATTGATGATGGAAAGAAAAATTGTGAAAGGTTCCATAATAGAGAAATTGGGGCTGTATTTAGAGAACAATGTAATTAGGTGCAGAGGTAGATTACAAAATGCTGAATTGGGTGATTATGCTAAACACCCTGTCTTACTGCCCAAAACTCATCATCTAACAAATTTAATTGTTCTAAATGCCCATAAAAATGTAATGCATGGTGGGGTACAAGATACCTTAAATTGTATTAGGGAAGCTTTCTGGATTCCACAAGGACGGCAAAGTGTAGAAAGGGTGATTAAATCTTGTGTAATATGTTGCCGTGTGGATGCCAGATCCTATATGTACCCAGGTCCTCCACCATTGTCAAATGAGCAATTTGAGTTGTTTAACAACGAACTCCGCCTGGCCGCAGTGTGGAAAATACTGTATATATTTTCCAGAAATACAGTAGTTATATGTAAATAGATGACCATACTGTATTTAATAAATATTTATGTTATCGAAAACAGGAAGCTGGCCTGCGCAGAAGGACACTCGCCATTTTGTTTGAATTGGACACTAACGGTAGTGTATAATGGGAAGAATTTTTCGTGCTCTAGAGGTTAAAATTGGGTTGACACCTCTCAAATAGGAGCCGAAATTGTTGGATGTGCATTCCTGCAAAATTTTAGATATCAGGCGACAGGACAGGACAACTCCAGGAACCTCAGATAAGCTGTCTAATTTATGTTCAAATTCTGGCCAGTAAATTTTTCATAAATGTAGGCAAAAAGGGGAGTCCTGTACATGACACATTAATCTCCAGTCAAATTGGTGAGTGATATTAAGATATTTTCCTTCTGTTATGTAAATGTGTGTATATATAATCCTTTTTTAATTTTAATATACAGTCCACAAATTTATATATTTACCAGCATTCATGGTGATGTATTTTTCATTTATAATTAATAGGTCGAGAGCAACTTGTGGATATGACAGTGGTAGGTATCGAAGGGGGACATTTTTTGCGACCTAGGTGTCCCAAATTCCTACTTGTCTATGTAACTGATAAATAATAGTTATCTTTGTTATTTACTGGTATGTACATTATGAGTTACATACAGATAAATGCAATTTTCCACAAATGTATAATTAGCACCAGAAAAAATATAATTATAGACAATATAATGTACAATTATAGACAATTTAAGGTATAATTATAAACAGTGCTTAATTATAGACAATTTATAATTATAGACAATATAAGGTGTAAAGATAGTGTGTAATTATTGACAATATAAGGTATAATTATAGACATTATAAGGTATTTTTGGCACTTGAGAAGATATCATTATAAATAGTATAAGGTATAATTTTAGATATTATAGGGTATACTTATAATTAACATAAGGTATAATTCTAGACAAGGTAGAATTATAGACAATATAATGATCACTTGAGAATATATAATAGTGTTGGTCGTGCGGGTGGCAGGGGAGTGCAGCAGACGGCGCCCCGGCAGCGAGTATCAATCATCAATTATCAATAACAAGCAAAATTGATCCTTAAAGACATAAGTAGAGTTGTTGAGAGCAGGTATGATGCTGGTGCAGCAGTTTGTGAGTATTATAAAGCTGAGAGCACCAGTGGACCTGGTCACCTGCCACAAATATTGACAAATTAGGTCACCGCAACACCAGTGGAAATTTTCTCTATAATTTGTAACTTTTGGATTATAGTAAATTATATATATTTATCATGGTTAATTAGCGCCCTCTGACTAATATATAATTTTTGGTCGTTTTGTGTTGCTTTATGTCATTATCATCACTGTTGGTAATATTGTGGTGTATTGATGCCGGTAACGGGCTCTTGATCCAAGGAAGTGGACTCGTCCTCACCTTCCTTGGATCCAACATGATTGTCTCCCCCCCTCCCAGGGGCTGTATAACCCTTACGGGTCCAGCGTTTTCCTCTGGTTAAAGTAGACCTAAATGGTCAGTGTAAAATTTTGATTATTAATCTTAAGACAAGCTTCATGTCAAGCTTCAGATCAAGCTTCAGATAAGCTTCAGATCAAGCTTCAGATAAGCTTCATGTCAAGCTTCAGATAAGCTTCATGTCAAGCTTCAGATAAGCTTCATGTCAAGCTTCAGATAAGCTTCATGTCAAGCTTCAGATAAGCTTCATATCAAGCTTCAGATAAGCTTCATATCAAGCTTCAGATAAGCTTCATGTCAAGCTTCAGATAAGCTTCATGTCAAGCTTCAGATAAGCTTCAGATAAGCTTCATATCAAGCTTCAGATAAGCTTCATATCAAGCTTCAGATAAGCTTTATATCAAGCTTCAGATAAGCTTCATATCAAGCTTCAGCAACACTTATTACTGCCAGCTTCTAACATAATGAATAATTTAATATTTATTTAGGCCTTGTATATAAAATAGTAAAGCTTATTTAGGCCTATATTTTTCACATTGGGTTATAATCGTACATTAAATGGACTTGAACCTAAGATAACCCAATAGTCAGTGTAGCTTATTTTAGTATATAGCCTTATTCAGCAGTATATGACCCTTGTGGGTTTAGTGCTTAGTTATTATAATAATATAGCATTGCTACATATATTTATTAGGATCAATATTGTTCATGATGATGCTAGTAAGTTTTATAACATGTTAACTCTCCTCTGATAACATCACATATGTCTAAATAAATCCTTATGGTAACTGATTTTTATATTTTTCGGTTACATTCAATATGTTATGATACAAAAAATTCAAATAAATTGTTTAAGAATTTTATGTAAGAAAGATCTTGGAGTAACGAGATGGAGAACATTGTGACCCCAGGCAAACTAAATCCCGAGGTGGTATTTATGAATATCCTAGGTTAAGTCGTCAGTTAATGTGCCTTGTATTGGACACTATATGACAGCATTTACTAAAGAACTTAGCAAACTGGAATGGTATATATATATATTAATTCCCAAGTATGTCATGGTTGATCAGGCTCTGATCCACCAGGAGGCCTGGTCACAGACCGGGCCGCGGGGGCGTTGACCCCCGGAACTCTCTCCAGGTAACTCCAGGTAGAGAATAATTTTTTCGAGTTATTAATCCTGGAGGATTATTTATCTTGTAGCTCAGTAATAGTGCATTTGACTCGCACTCAAGAGGCCCTGGGTTAAATCCAAGGCAAGGCAGATTCTGGATAAATTTCCTAACACCTACTGCTGCCCTTTTTCATGTGGCCTGGTAGACAGTGTTCTTATCTCACACACTGAGTGTCCATAGTTCAGTCCCTGGCCGGGTGGAAACATTGGGTGTGTTTGCTTACACCTGCTGTCCCTGTTTACCTAGCAAGCAAGTGGGTACCTGGGGGTTAGTCGACTGGTGTGGGTCGCATCCTGGGGAACAAGATTGAAGGAACAATAGAAATAAGACAATCCTTGATGACACACCGACTTTCTTGGTTTATCCTGGGTGACTAACTCCTGGTTAAAATTACAAACAAAATCTTATCTTCACCTAGCAGTAAGTAGAAACTTAGGAGTTAGATAACTGTTGCAGGTCAGTATTATAGTAAAGGTATGCAAACGCAACAGTGAATGAGTAAGACTTGTGCAACACTGTGTGTTTATTGTGATGCTTCAGCAAGCAGTGGCTTCATTAATGTAATATTGAGAATGTTCTTCATATACAAAACACTCGCTCATACTACTGTGCATTCTACATATACAGGACAATAAATTCCAATATCATTCCTGCCCAGAAACACTATAAAATATTGAATATTTGAAATTTGCCACTCTTTACCTGTCTAGACTTAAGTGGTCTTTAAGTACAGTGGTACCCAGAGTTGCCAACTGCTCCAACTGAACCAGTTATGTAAGTGTATTATTGTAAGTGCTTTTGTAAGTGTATTTTTGGGGGTCTGAAACGGACTAATCTAATTTACATTATTCCTCAGTGGAAAAAATTATTTTTGGTAACGGCACTTGAACACCCTTCTGGAACGAAGAAAGTTTAAAAACTGGGGGGTACCACTGTTTTGGGTTAAGTCTGCCTAAAAATGCCTCAGCTGATTTGGCTTTTTTTTGTTCAATAAAATTTTAAAAATGTAAACACACTTTTAACCCTTTGCAAAGAAATATGCTTTTGTTTTGTTTTTTTCCGTTGCAACTTTACTCTGTCATAATTCTAACAAAAAAATCTCTTAATTTCCCCCATGTCCAATTTAATCTTTTTTAAAAACTCAATGTGCTAAAAGACCTAAAATCGGATCTCTAAAACCATAAACTTCGAGCCCCCTGACTACTGTTTTAAACCTATTTTTTAAAAATCCCATCTTTCCTTAAGTGATCTAAGGCAATTATTTATTTATGCTTATTGCCCGGTCCATTCCTTCCCCTTAGTACCTAGCGTCTTCCTTAATTTTTACAGTGGGGCCCCCGCATAACGATCACTCCGAATGCACCAATTTCCAAAAACAAAATGAGAACTGTATGTTGCACCAACGTAAAAAAAACCTACAAGAGTTACGAGACTAGGTTTCCCTACTTGAACATGGGGAAAAACACCTACCCCTTTTAAAATCGGGATAATTACAGATAATCCCACAGCCATACCCTATTTTCCTCATAACAACTTTTGGTAATTACCCCAAACACCTAAACCCTTCAGACTTCAAAATGGGGCAGCCATTAATAACTTCAAAAACACATTGCAAAACATTGATGGCACACTGAGCTAAAAATTAATACAGATATTGGGAAATGTTTTAAATAATTTCTAAAAAGACTCAATACCTCTATAACAAGCACTGCCCAAAAAAAAACAAAGCAGATGACAGCTAAGAGACTGAAAAAGTCCCTGGCTAACACCCAGCTTCTCAAATCCATAATACAAAACCCAATATGAAAAAAAATAAGAAAGGGTACATAACCAGAACCAAAAAAAACGTTACTCTCAATCCTAACCCTGTAAGAAAGGGAAAAAAAATGTTTTAGAAACAGATTATCCAACTTACGAGGTGATATAAAAAAGACCTGGAAAAAACCCCTTTAGAAAATTTTGGGAACAAAAGTATCACGAATAGCGAAATAAATTGCAAAATCAGATGAAACCCCCAAATCCACCAACGAAACAACAAACAGATCAAAGATTTTTCTCCACTATAGGACAAAACCTTGCCATAAAATCCCCCAAACCAGATACCCCACCAAATGATACCTCACCGGCAACTACCGAACACACTGTTCCCAGCCCGACTAACCCATACGAAAATTCCCCTTTTTTATCAAAGCACTAAAAAAAAGGGGAGATTTAAATACCTTACCACCCTTTTTTATACAAAAAAAAAATTTACAAGGCTTCACCAAACTTGCAAACTCTTTAACAAATCCATTTAATCCCCCCCTTCCCAAGTACTCAAAATGCAAGGGGCACCCCGATCCCCAAAGGAGGAGACCAAACAGAGTTGAATAACTTAGGCAATATCAACTTAACCCCCTCTCAAAAATCTTCCCAAAAATTAATTCATAAACGAATTACTCCTACCTTATTCCCAAAACTACCCAAACCCCCGCCAATTTGGGGTTTAGGTAATAAAAAACAATGATGTATTTACACATGCTGAACATATAACACTGCAAAAGAGAAAAAAAAAGTCCCCCTGGGGATCTTCATTTACTTACGTAAAGCTTTTTATACGTTGACCATGACTTGCTCCACGAAAATTTTCACACATGGTTAAGAGGGGACTCCCTCAACTACCCCAAGTCATACCTCAGCACAGAACCAAAATGTGTACGCAATGGGGCAAACTCTTTGCACAACCAATTACAGTTTGGGTCCCCCCGGGGAAATGTCCTTGGCCCTCTTCTCTTTCTCCTATACAAATGATACCAAATGCTTTCAATTCTCAAACCCCACTATTTGCTGATGCACAACATACGTCTTCCCACCCGAGCCCATCACGCTAGCCAATACTGTTTTTTTTTTAATACCGAATTACGAAAATATTACCCGGATGAGTACTAACAAAATTACCTAAAAAATTGACAAAAACCCACTTTTATTCAGTTTTGGGAACAGAGTACAGATGTCCCTTTAAATAATGATAAACGGATCACCCCATACAAAAGCTAACGAGGGAAAATTTTTAGGGAAACCACCTTGAAATAACTCAAATTTCTACACTTTAAAACAAATTTCTAAGAAAATTTCCAAGAGTAGGCATCTATCGAAGATCGGGATTGCTCCACAGTCAGCCCCCCCGGCCCTTTTACTTCTTATTTTCCCTATCTCACCTATGGAATTTGTGCATGGGCCAACAAAAAGTAACCCTTCAGACCACTAATTACCCCAAAAAAAGGCTGCAGTTAGAAAGATAACAAATTTCCCCTACAGGCGCACCTCACCCCAAAATTCAATACACTCAAACCTTTCTCACCATACAAAACATCCATACTTATTCTGCACCTATTACTCATAGAACACTCAACTCTGATATTAACCCCCCCCTCAAAACCCTTTTGCCCCCTAAAACAAAAACACATGCCCCATAACCAAGGACAGTCACTCTTTGTTTTCT